CAGAAGCTGATCAAATATCGGGTTAAATATCGGTGGGGTGGCCGATGTCCGATATTCAGTTTTAAGGCCGATACCGATAGGGGGCTGATTATATCGTGCATCCCTATCATAAAGACTTAAGTAAACACCTCCTCATATCTTGGTTCATTAGATTTGTAATGTTACATCGCTGGATGTGCATAATGGGTTGAAATGATAACCTGATGTTATTACAATTTACACTGGTGAGTGGGGTGGCCAGTGAGGTGGCCAGGGCATTGCACAGGGTGGCTGTGGCCACCCCTGGCCATCCCTTGGTGGCGTCACTGCGACCGGGTCCTGGCCCCTGTTATGGCCCCTGCACTAAAAGCACCAGTGGTTTCAAAAGTACTAACATTTGCTACTTAAGTAGAAGTATAGATACTGCAGTTTAAAAACACTCTGGTAAAGGTTGAAGTATCAACTTGACCTCTTTACTCAAGTAAAAGTGAAAAAGTATGTGCTCCAAAAAGTAATTAAAGTATAAAAGTATAAGGTAACCTTAAAAAAAAAAAAAAAACTGTGAGATGCCACCATATGAATTGAAAGCTCAATTTTTTGACTATTTAAAAAAAAATCTTATAGATAGGGCCAAGGATGAGGGAGGTCTTGTTGGTCTCCATCTCCCGATACGCTGTGTCCGACCTTAGACTTAGACAGTACTTTAATGATCCCTTGGGAAGACTCCCTCCGGAAATTAAGGTTACCAGCAGCTTACAGGACAAAAAAGTATTAAGTTAAATTAAGTTAAAATTAAGTAAAATACAAATACAAATAAATATGGAGTTCACATTTTACAGGGAAAAAAAATAAAAGTGTTACTACTTCTTCCCTTTTCCCCCTGTCCTGTGTCGCCTCCTCGCCCCCAGTGAGACGTTGTACAGTCTGATGGCGTGGGGGACTAAAGAGTAAGTCTATTGGTCCGGCACTTGGGAAGCAGCAGTCTGTCACTGAACAGGCTCCTCTGGCTGCTGATGACGGTGTGTCCAAGGCCTCCACCTCAGTTCCCTCTAGTGCGACTGGTCTTTGCTTTTGTCTGGGCCTCCTAAAGTCTATAACCAGCTCCTTTGTCTTAGAGGTGTTGAGCTCCAGGTGGTTTGTGTGGCACCAAAGGGCAAAGTCCCCCACCAGATGTCGATACTCCTCCTCTTTGTCATCCATGATGCATCCAACTATGGCTGTGTCATCAGCATACTTTTGTATGTGACACAGCTCTGAGTTGTAGTGGAAGTAAGAGGAGTACAGGGTGAAGAAAGGAGGGGCCAGCACTGTGCCCTGAGGGGCTCCTGTGCTGCTGACCACAGTGTCAGACATGATGTCCTTCAGCCTGACATACTGCGGCCTGTTGGGGAGGTAACTGTTGATCCAGGTGACCAGGTGCGGGTCCACTCCCATGCTGTATAGTTTGTCCTGGAGCAGAAGGGGCTGGATTGTATTAAAGGCACTGGAGAAGTCCAAGAAAAGGATCCTCACTGTGCCACTGCCCTTATCAAGGTGGGAGTGGGCCCGGTGCAGCAGGTAGAGAATGGCATCCTCCACACCGACATCTGGCTGGTAGGCGAATTGCAGGCGGTCTCGGGCATGTTGCACCTGAGTCCTGAGAAGGCCAAGGAAGAGCCGCTCCAACGTCTTCATCAGGTGTGAAGTGAGTGCTACGGGCCGGAAGTCATTCAACCCGCTGGGCCTGTTCTTCTTGGGCACTGGAAAAATGCAGGATGTCTTCCAGAGGGTAGGCACTTCCCCTAGCTGCAGGCTGAGGTTGAAGATCCGCTGTAGTGGCTCTCCCAGTTCAGCAGCACAGGTCTTCAGGAGTCTTGGACACACCTGGTACAGTCCTGCTGCTTTCCGGGGCTTGAGCTTCCTCAGCGGTTCTCTGACCTGGTCTGTGGTGATGTGGGGTGGAGATTGTGCTGAGGTCTGCCGGGGGGTTGTCAGTGTTGTGTTGTCTGGGGAGAGGTGTGTAGGTGGGAGGAGGGATGTCTGTAGTGAGAGAGGGGGTTGGGGGGGCATGGGCTGGTTGAACCTGTTGAAGAAGATATTCAGTTTTCTTGCCCTCTCCATTGTTTTAGACGTTTCAGACATTTCAGCATCTTTTTCTGAATCCCACATCGTAGCATGGCATAGACAATTCATGTTAGCAGTTTGAAGAACACCTGCTTGTTTCTGATGATTTCCTTTAGCTAACCAATGAGTGTTTGCATTATATGACTCATCCAATCACACTAGTTTTCACTAGATGTGGATGGAGCCAATTTCTAAACATTAAACCGAAGCCCAGAGTAACGAGTAACGTTTGTTTAAAAAATATAAGGAATAGAAAGTACAGATACTTGTGTCAAAATGTACTGAGTAGAAGACAGAAGTAGGAGGAAAAATAAGTAATGGAGTAAAATATAGATACCTAAAAAGTGTACTTAAGTACAGTGATGAAGTATTTGTACTTCGTTACTTGACACCTCTGAAAAGCACACACTACAAAAATTGAAGTAATTTCCTCTTGAAAAATTTGTATTTTCCCTTGATTTGAGCAGGTAGTTAAGACAAATTTCTAATGGAATAAGATGAATTACATTTAGAATAAGAAAAAAAAACTCCCCTTATCCTATTTGAAGTGGATAATATGCATTTATCCTATGTTAAGGGCACACATGCTCGTTCCTTTGGCAGATTATCTAAAGTCCACAAACAGTATGTAGTTAAAAGTCTTCAGCTGATCCAAAATGCTGCAGCCAGAGTTCTGATAAAAATTAAAGAGAGAGATCATATCTCTCCCCATGGGCGTAGGTTTGCATAGGGACCATAGGGACATGTGCCTAACAAAGTTTTGGACCGACCTACTTGTCCCTACCAACAATTAGATGTGAATATCATGTTTATAATTTACAATACAGCTTTGTTGCAGCTGTAGATGGGTTCTGGATGGAGAATATTGACAGATAAAAACATTTTACAATGGTATTGGAATGGGTATAATTCCTGCTCTAAGTGGGTCGCTCTGTGAGCTAAAGTCATGTTTTAGAGTCTCTATATACCAGTTAACGATTAATCGATTACTAAATTTGTTGACATTTCAATAATCGATTATTCCAATGAATTGTTTCAGCCCAAGATAAAATAAATGAAATGGGTTAAATGGAGTAAGTACACAATAATTTTATTTGGTGTACCTTGAATCTATTATTTTGCTTGATACAGAGAGAATATTTAAAAGATAAGAGTGGGTTTTACCGATGCACAATTGTATATCTTCAAAAGAAAAAAACAGGATAAATCCACATATAAAAGATATAAAAGCATGCATAATTTTGCATGACATCAGACCAATAGTGTCCGTACCAAAGTTAAAATCAAACCTACGCCCTTGTCTCTCCCATCCTAGCTTCCCTTCATTGATTTCCTTTTAAATTCTCCTTCTCACATATAAAGCCTTAAATGACCAAGCACTTCTCTCTCAATCTGCAGGTTTACTAGTGGTTCCTAGAATTTCTAAAAGTAGAATGGGAGGCAGATATTTTAGTTATCAGGCTCCTCTCCTGTGGAACCAACTACCAGTTTTAGTCCGTGAGGCAAACACCCTGTCTACTTTTAAGGCTAGGCTTAGAATTGTTTTTGATAAAGCTTATTGTTAGAGTGTCTCAGTTTATCATTATCTATCTTTATAGTTATGCTGCTATAGCCTTTTTCATCATTCTGCTTCATTCTATCTCCATTCTCCCACTCTGCAGAATCTATTAGTTCAATCTCTAACGTTCTGCTCTCTCTGCTTTTTTTTCGTAGTAGCTTCATCTGGTCTGTTCCTGTTTGGCTGTGACTCCATCATGGAAGGCGGTGGTCGGCTGTGCTGCTGTCATCAACACCTATGTTTTGTGGATGTTGGAGATCGGCCTGTTTTTCCAGTGTAGTCCTGTTTCTCTAACTGTGACTTTAGGTTGTTTGAGGGACCATTTTTTTAGTGTGCAAATAACCTAGATATCTAAAACCAGCTATAGCAAAAATATGCAAAGTATCAATACCTAAAGCCTAATCAGTATTGTATCCGGACACAGTGACACTTTTGACAACCCCATTGAGAAGGTTACTCAGTCCTATGACTCAGCAGTAGGACTGGCCAATTAACAGCATTTTCAATATAATACAATTTAACAAAATGCAGTTTTCAAATCCCAGAGGTCCTCAGTTTTAGCCTCAATGCATTTAGCAAAAGACACTGGATTTCTCCCTCCAGCCTTGTCGGTGACAGTAATACACATAGACTGGGTGTCCTGTGTGGAGCTAGCATGAAACCATGC